AATACTACCAATAAGTCATCCTCGGGTAAACCAGTAGTGGTTGGTGTTGAGGGACGCTCTCAACGTCTATGTGACAGGAAAAGTGGATGGCCAAAAGTGCAACTTTGTCATAGATTCTGCATCTCAGCAAACCCTTGTGAGTATTAAGATTCTAGATCACAAAGGAGTACCAGAAGCCATACAGAAACTCTGTGGTGTGACAGGACATTATGAAAGGTTGTGGGGACCAGTGTGGGTAGCTATTGAGCTCATGTGCATAAAGGATAGACACAAAGTATACTTGGCTGACATTGAAGATCCATGCAAAACAGTGAAGCCATTAATGAAGTTACTACCACTAATGTGACTGCTACCGATAATGGGACATTTCCTGATGGAGCAGATGAATCCCACTTGAAGCAGAAGCCAATGAGATGGAGACCAGTACGGAAAAAGTTACGTCCAGTAAAATTAAGAGACTTTGTTGGGTTTTAATTTTGTGTTTGTAAATTCTGTACATTTAATTAAGTTATTGTTAATTATCTGTTGGTTTAATGTAAGTGGCTATTGTTCGGGACGAACAATACTAAGGAAGGGGCAGTGTTACGAAAGCGGAAGTCACGCGATGCTGGGAGCATGCTTGCTGGAGTTTCTCGAAAGATGATGAATTTGCCCGCCAGCTCGAGTGAGATCTAGACGTCCCCTTTGTTAGTATATAAGCCTGGCGAGAAAAACAAGCGTGATTGAAGAGATAGATAATTGAGTCAAGCGAACAGTAGGCACCGTAAGTACAGTATGTGAATCACTGTGATTTATAGCGTGTGTTATAAAAGGTTGTTAAGTTAAGGTGACTGTGGAAATTCTGTGTATTACAAAAAGTTGTATCGAGAAATAATAATCTGGTTTAATCAAGAACGGGCTTGTATCACTGAAGTTCCTCGGAAAGAATTTCTACTGGAAATTATCAAAGAAGCAGATACGTAGCAGTAAAAATAATCCAAATATACGTAAGGAATACGTACATCTTTAAATTTTACGAAAAACCAATCACCTGCATAAGCCTTATTAAATAGAAGTCAGAGGAAAAGTCGTTCTCCTTATCTGTTATGAATTAAACACATCTACTACTGTAAGACTTATTACAATATAACCCTCATCACATGTCGTTCTCTTTACTTATTACCAACTAAACCCCTTTCTTGATGTAAACCTTCTTATAATATAACCACGAGGACATGTCGTTCTCATTACATATTAACAATTAAACCCGTCTACTGAAGGAAACCTTCTAACAATATAACCATGAGGACATGTCGTTCTCTTTACTTATTACCAATTAAACCTGTCTGCTGATGTAAAACTTCTTACAATATATCCTTGAGGACATGTCGTTGTCTTTACTTATTACCAATTAAACAGGTCTCTTGATGTAAAACTTCTTACAATATGACACTGAGGATATGTCATTCTCTGTAAATATTACTAATGAAAACTGTCTCCTGATGGAAACTTTCTTACAAAATAACCCTGACGATATATCGTTCTCTTTACTTATTACCAATTAAACCTGACTACTGATGTAAAACATTTTACAAAATAACCCCTAGGATAAGTCGTTCTCTTTACATATCACCCCTTAAACCCGTTCTCTGGTGTAAACCTTCTTACAATAGAACCCTGAGGACATGTCTTTCTTTTTGCTTATTACCAATTAAACCCATCTACTGATGTAAATTTTCTTACAATATATCCCTGACGACATGTCGTTGTCTTTACTTATTAACAATTAAACCAGTCTCTTGATGTAAAACTTTTTACAATATAACCCTGAAAACAAGTAGTTCTCTTTACTTATTACCAATTAAATTGATCTACTGATGTAAACCTTCTTACAATATATCCCTGAGGACATGTCGTTGTCTTTACGTATTACCAACTAAATAATTCTCTTGATCTAAACCTTCATACAATATAACCCTTAGGACAATTTTTTATTTTTACTTATTACCAATTAAACCGTCTACTGATGTAAACCTTTTTATAATAAAACCTTGAGGAAATGTTATTCTCTTATTTATTACCAATTAAATCTGTCTCTTGATGT